AGTTATTGCATGTTATTTTGTAAATGACGTTGGTATTGTATGATTCTAAATAATTTTTTTTGGTAACGATTTTAGTTTAGGCCGGGTTTTTGTGAGAATTTGACGTTGACAAGAATATTGTGTTTACTGGCTAGTTTAGTCCAAGTGTGGATAATTCTTGAGCTGGTTTCAGGAACAAAAGGTAAACTGCAGTGTAATGTACTGTTGTTGGGTTTGTTAGTGTCAATTTTGTTCGTGAGTTGAGTTTTATTGTGGGGAATGTTGGAGAGCTTTTCAACTATATCTGGTGTGAATTTATTGGTGTGAATAAAGGAATGCTTTAAGTGGTTAATTTCTTCATTTATGTAGTCCGTTGAACAGAGTCTTGTGGCTGTGTTTATGAGGTTTTTAAGTGTATTGATTTTTTGTGTGGTATCATGAGCTGAATTCCAGGGGATGTAGAGACCAGTGTGTGTGTTTTTGCGGTGAATTTTTGGGTTAAATCACTAGGCCATGACAAGCCTGCATGAGCTACTCATGAGTATTTTTAGTTTCTTATAAAATACCCTAAAACACAGTTACTTGCCTAAAAGCAACTCGTAAGTAGTATGTGGTATATTTAAACGAGGAAGAACAAAACCAAAACGTCTGAAATACTTTCTATGTTTTTTTTTACGGTTAATTCAAACATAAGCAATACTTTTTCATTTCAAGCTTCAAATTCTCGTGTTTTTAAAGAATTAACAACTGTAACTTCACTGTTCACTAGCGTAACATTAAATCGCTTGGCTATGCATTTATCCATAATTTAATAACACATGTGTGTTAGAGTAAATGTTTATCAACTTCTCAAGGGCAGACCTGATAACTACATATCGCTCATTATTGAGGTTTTGATCTATATATACAATATATTAGTATCTTTTTTTAGACAGTGAAACTCCAAAGGTGTGGTGCTAGACATATTGATTATCACTCTATATCAACAATAATATTAACAGAACGAAAAATAAAAATTTAAAAGCTGGTATCTAAGGTCCAACTGTTTAATAATTATATTACAGATTTATTTTATTTTCATAAAAGGTAAAATTGAAAATATAATTTGTGACCTAAATGCACTTATTGATTCGCCGCACCTTTGCTTTTGGCTGCAGTTTCACTTATTCAAAGCTCATCAGCACAACTTGGGGAAGCAAACCAAAGACATACAGTTAAGCCTTCTATAATGGTGATGTGTTTATAATATTCGGGCGGTTTATGAGTTCTTTTTAACTCACCATATAGTAATCTAAATTAATTTACTTTTGTGAATATTATGACATTGTGTCTAATTTATTACTCACTGTTATACAGTAGAACAAGTGTGTGATGATTATATTACAAGTTTATTTTATTTTCACGCGACGAACCAAAGAATACATTGTGCTTCTACATCACAGATTGTGTTTTCTATTTTACTGTTTTTATTTTTTCACTGTGTTGTGTAGAGATTATTAATAAGTATTTTCCAAATATCGAAATGTGACAGAACTGGTAGACTGAACGTCAAGGAAGGTATACAAAGTTTAGATTAACGTCCTACAACTGTTATATACACCTGGAAAAAAGTTAAGCACCCCCGTGTTTTTTCAAGTGATTCAGATTCGACGTTCTTGTG